GTATATTTCAACCAAATTGTGATACCCCCAAATATATAACTAAAGGATTTTTGCTTGCAAACTCACCTTGAGAAGATCAGTGGCTGAATCAAAGAAAGCTCCCTTCTCTCGATCCTCCACATCGCGTATCTCGATAATCTCCCTAGATATTTCTGGCAGCTGAAACATCTTCTCTCGCTGGGTTTCCATCTTGGCACAGACCGCAGACAGCTGGACCAGAGTCTCGCCCTTGGCCACGGTCTCCTGGAGGGACTCCAAGGCATTGTAGCTCTCTACGGACATCAGTTTGAAGGCCTGGTGATCCCGGGAAACCTCCTGCTCCACGCAGGTACGCAGCTCCCTCAATCTCTCGGTCAACTGCTGTTTGATGGCTTGCCGCTGCTCCAGTTGGCCCTGCTGCTTGACGTAGAACTCCTCGGAAACCAGGCGCAAGTTGGCCAGTTGGTCCACCAAGTGCTCGATTTCGTGCGTCTGCTGGCTGATCTGGAGGGCAGCTTCCTCATCCCGCTGCTTGAGGTCAACGTATTCCGAGTAGAAACCCTCGATGTGCTGGCAGTAACCGGCCAGTACCGCCTGATACTCCTGCCACAGCTTTTCCAGTCGAGCCTCACCTCTGGAGGTGATTTGCTCCAGCTGGAGTTGCATCTGGAAATAATGTTTTTATTTTATATTTTTGTGTGTGTTTTTTTTTTTAAATATCTATAGTACGATAATTTGTCTAAAAGCTTTCAAGTAAGTCGTAGCAAAACTTTGAATACATTTTTTTTGTTAAACAATTTAGCGCCAAAACTACCACATCGATTGTTCTGATATTTTTTACATATTTTCATTGCATAACTCAAGAAATATGTAGAAAGAGTTTTTAATTAATTATTTGTTTTTTTTTTTGTTCTAAAAATTGATAATATTAAATTTTTTTTTAGTTAAAATTAAAATTTTCATTTCAAATACTAAAAAAATATTGCTATTTTATAAAAAGAGCTTATCGATTCCATGTGATTTTGTTTTTTAAAGTGATCATACGATGTTTACAGCGAATGATAATAACAATGTATGATTTAGCTTAAAGCGATTTAAAACAATAGGTCTTTGAAAATATTGATATTGAAAAACTGCTAAACTATTTATGAAACTTATTTTATTTATTTCCATGTTGCTGTGCGTTGCTATGTATGGTATGTATAAAAACACTATTGAATAAAAAATCGCCGAAAGGTCGAACGGTGACACATCGAGAAAAACGGCACGCAACTGCAAAACGAAGATTGATATGCGACTTGGGTCATTGTGTGTCAGTCATTCTGTAATTTGGGACGTTGTTCTCGAGACCTATAAATAATGTTGGCCCAGCTGCTCCTCCATTCAGTTCCCGAGATGCGCCTGCTAATTGTGCTGTGGATTGGCCTGAGCTGCTGCTCCTGCTGCATTTCCGGGCTCAAGTGTCGGTCCCAGGAGGGATTGAGTGAGGCGGAGCTCAAGAGGACCGTGCGCGGTTGTATGCGACGCCAGGAAGACAGCGGCGATCGAGGGCGGGGGATGGAGGGCAGGCAAGGAAACGGCCATGGATTCGATTACGAACGGGATCAGGATGAGGACCTGGATCGGGATCGGGATCGAAATCAGCACAACAGGGGCGGCTATGGAAACAGGAGGCAGAGGGGCCTCAGGCAGCCGGAGAACAGGAACAACACAGGCTACGATGGAGGTCAGTGTGTCGCCCAGTGCTTTTTCGAGGAGATGAATATGGTAGGTAGCCATTAAGGCTTATAAATTATTTCTCTGGGAAATGCATTTAGGCAATAATTCAAAGGATTCCCATTCTTAGGTAGCCCTTACACAGAAATAACTTTATTCCTCCACCCAAACTTTCCCACAGGTCGATGGCAACGGGATGCCCGATCGGCGCAAGGTGAGCTACCTGCTGACCAAGGACCTACGGGATCGGGAGCTGCGCAACTTCTTCATGGACACAGTGCAACAATGCTTCCGGTACTTGGAGAACCAGGGACGGAGCAGGCAGAACAAGTGCTCCGTTTCCCTGGAACTGGTCAAGTGCATGTCGGAGTACGCCAAGGCGCAGTGCGAGGACTGGGAGGAGCACGGCAACATGATCTTCATCTAGCAGCCACAAGCTTACCCCACTTTTTAGATCCTCGCAGCGGTCGAGGAAGCGCTCGTGGTTGTCCCGGATCCCACCGTCTGTGCTCTCCTCCAGTTGGTAAAAGACGCACTCGAGGTGCTGCTGCTTCTGGGCATGCATCTCCTTGAATACCGCCGAGTCCTGCTCCCACTGGCTCAGCACCGCCTGCTTGTCGTCCTCGTAGATCACCCGGAAGAACTCGATGCGATCTCTGTGGGTGTCTAGTATAAATTTAAGAAGGAAATGGGTTTTAGCAAGCTGGGTATTAGGGATAACGTTTACTGTATAACTTCAAATAATACAGTACTATTATGTACACTTCAAATATCTGTGAAAAATATAGACAATAATACTCCATTACTTTCATTGAATAATTAATACAAAAAGTTTAACGGTAGATATTTTTGAAGCCTATTAGTTTCTTAGGATAGACGTTTTTATAAATATTTATAAATGTTTTATAAGGTTGGGACCTTTAGAATGCTTTAGCCAATGGTTACTTTAAATACTTGTTAAAAATGTAAACAGCAATATTTCAGAACTTTTAATAAATTATTAATTAAAAATATGTAATAACACATTATTTTAAAACTTTTTAGTTTCTGGAAATAGATGTTTTTATACAAATTTATAAATATTTCATAATTTCAGGGTGTTTCAGCCATTGTTTTATACCCTTAGAGCAATAAATTATAAACCAAATGTAGTTGGTATAAAAAATGATAGCGTACAAATGACGGTGTACTTCATCATTCATAAACATCGGGTTAAAATAGTAAACGAAGTATTTTGTTAAATGTAAAATCTCTTTCATAAAAGAATCATATATATACGGTAATTATATATAACGACTTACCAACGATTTTGGTGATGTTTTCCATATGCGACTGCTGCAGATTGGCGTACATATCCTCGGTGGACTCTATGTGGGCAATGAGGCGGTGGATAACCTGATCTTTGCGTTTCAAAGCCTCCTGAAAAAAGGACTCAACGTCGACAATCTCCCGACGCAGTTCTTGAACTTTGACCTGGCGCAAAATGCTGCGCCACTCTTGGTTTATTTTGGCCATATTTAAGCGTCCGAAAGCATCCTCCCTTTTCAGTTTGTTCTATTTGAAGAAAGATTGTTCTAATGATATTGTTATGCTTTGAATTTCCTAAGATACCTTCATGTACATGGAAATAAGCTGCATCTTCCGTCTCCTCGTCTCCTCCTCCATATCGGCCCTCATCTGCAAGTACCGGGCCCGCTCCTCTTCGGACATTTTGGCCAACTTGTTGCCTTTGCCTTTACCCTTTTTGCCCATGATTATGCCTTTTTATTGCCCTAATATGCGCTTATCAAATTTCAAAGACCAATCTCTGACTAATTAAGCAAGTGAAAGCCGCGTCTCGGAAAATAAATAACAATTTGATGGCCGGCGTTGTCATGACACTAGCTCACCCACTCCAGTTAACTCTATTTTTTTCCGTCGTCAGGTTTGTTGCCATAATAATGGATGCGAATTAAATAAATGCGGAGCATTGCAAATCGCCATTAAGGCTGTCCATCAAAGGGGAACCATTTGACAAATAAAATGCGGCCCAAATAGCTGAAAGGCCGTCATCATGCTGAGAACTGACATTGTGATTTGTGTGGTTCTATCACAGCTGTTGGTATGCATTTAAATTAAAGATTTATTGTTCATACTGTGTGATAAAATGTATTATCATCATAGAGTTGAGCATTTTAAATATTAATAGCTCATTCTAGGTGCCCAAGTTATTGATTATTATTTTTCAGGATGGACCTTTGGCTATCCGGGTGCACTGCAGACACACGGAGAGAATTCATGAGGAAAACATTCACCACTGCTGCCAGCATCCCGACGGTCAAAACGACATAACGGAAATGTGTGCCAAGCAGACAAACTTTCGCCTACCGAATCCCGACGAGGAGGCCATGGAGGATGTGACGGTGGACCAAGCGATGGGCGGAACCTGCTGGGCCAAGTGTGTCTTCGATCATTTCGACCTGATGCAGAATAACACACTGGATATGGTCAAGGTGCGATCGTATTACAAAAGTTATCATAAAACGGATCCGGAATACGAAACAGAAATGCTGAATGCCTACGAAAAATGTCACTCGAAATGTAAGTTTCATGACTAGATTTTTTGAATTAAATTAATTATTTAATTTTAAAGCTGAGGATGCCACCGAAAGGTTCTTGTCGCTTCCAATTGTGAGGGCCTTTTCCACAGCCAAGTTCTGCAAACCGACCTCTAGCATCATTATGTCCTGCGTCATTTATAACTTTTTTCACAATTGTCCAAAAAATCGCTGGTCCAACACCACGGAGTGCGTCGAAACTTTGGCCTTTGCCAAGAAGTGCAAGGATGTGCTGACAACAATGTAAAATAGCATAAGTATTAAAATGGTACATTATATAAGAATTTTTGCTTTTAAAAATCAAAGAACTTTAGCTTCTACACCCAGAAAAAAACGAAAGTTTAGCTTTAATAATTGCGTCTTATAAATAAACTGCATACAGTATTTAGGAAAAGAATTAATTCAATACTAAATAATTCTTTCAGTTTCATTTCTATACGAATAAGTCTAAACTTGTACTAAAATAATATCTTGTTTTTAAATCACATGTGTTCTTATTTTGATACGTTCGTGGTGTTAATTTAATACTCATATCATTGATAAATTTTTCAAACCCAATAGTTTAAAATTCGTATAACAATTGTTTATTTTCTGTGACAATTTTTTTTTGGATAAGGGATAAAATAATACTCTAACATAATAAAATATTTAAAAGTACAAATAGAATATTAAACCAAGTAGAAGTCGTAAATATTGCAAATAGCTTTTTAGTTATTTGTTCTTTTAGCACGTTCTTTATTGATTAACACCTTATAGTAAGCCTCTACAAAGTGGCCAGCGAGTCCTCGCACTTCTTGCTGAAGGCCAGGGTGTGCTCGCACTCCTTGGTCTTGGACCAACGATCCGCCGGACAATTGTGGAAGAACTGACGGATGACACAGGCCAAAACTACACTAGACTGGGGCTCGCAGAAGTGTTGGGACATTTGCTTGAAGAGCGGCTTCGACAGGAACATGGAGGTGTTCTCCTCACCTTTGGAGAAATGTATCACAAAATTGAGAAGATTTGCAAGAATATCTGTTACGTACTTTTGCCATGACAGTGATCAAAAGCGTTGATCATTTCCTTGACATATTCAGGATCATCGGCGAACTTTTCAGTAAAATATTTCCTCACTGCATCCATGTCCAGGGCGTTGTCCTTCATTAGTTTCAGTTTGCTAAAGACGCATTTACCAAAACAGGTGCCTCGAATAGCCCGGTCTGCGGTGATGTCCACCAGTGCCTCCTCGTTTTTACTGGCCAGCATAAAGTTGGTCTCCCTTGCACACTCCTCTATTATGTCATTGTGTCCTTCGGGATGTTTGCAGCAATAATGTATATGCTCTTCATTGATTGCCTCTGCATTTTCGCAATCAATTTTAATTCCATTAGCAATCTGAAAAGTAAATTTTAAAAATTTATATATTTTGCCTCATTCCAATTCAAAAACTTACCCAAATCAGGCAGCAAAAACTTAATAGAATTATGCACTTCATTGCACTGCTTTCTCTGCCAAAATAAGCCAATTTTAAGTGCTTTTATAGTGCTCACCCGAATAATTTAAATAAAAACAGGAAATCGCCGTCAATTTCGCAAATGTCTAGCCATCAAACTGTATGAAAATGTTATTTTTTCCGCTCATATATTTTCAGCCATTACAACTGACATTTGTTACATTTAATTAAGCAATCCAATTTGGAAATAAATTGATTTACTTAAATAATGAGGGCGCATGATTTTATAAATATTATGACAATGGTAAATTAATTACATTCGAAAAGTAATGGTCAAGTTTATATGTTGGTGGACGGTTTTAATACTGGTCGCCGTTTCGGAGGCGCAGGATTCCGAAGAAACCACTGCAGTGGTCAGTTCTAAAGGAGATTTGACGGAGGATAAATGTAACAAGAATGTTGGTTGGAGATTTTTTAAAAAATCTTTTAAAAAAAGTTGTAATTGCTTAACTTTTATTAGCGCGATGGCTGCTGCTCTGAGCTTTATATAGGAGAAGAGGAGGACCTTGTCAAATGTTTCGTTATACACTCGCCCAAATTACCAGCGGATAGGAACAGCGATGTGGGCAAGACCTTCATGTTTCTATCGGTAGGTACATGTTAGCTTAAGTTACCAATCTGTGCGTCATTACGTCAATTTATCCAATATTTGCAAACCGCAGTGCTTTGTGGAGTGCCTGTACAAGCAAAAGAAGTACATTGGTAAAAGCGACACTATCAACATGAAGATGGTCAGACTGGACGCAGAGAAGATGTATGTGGATCGTCCAAAGGAGAAGGAGTATCAAATCGAAATGTACGATTTCTGTCGAAAAGATGCTGTGAACATGTACAATCTTCTGAAGGTCAGTCCCGGGGCTAAGGTGCTTCTAAGAGGTGCCTGCCGTCCCTACCTATTGATGGTATTTATGTGCATGAGTGACTACCATCAAAAGCACGAGTGTCCCTACTTCCGCTGGGAGGGTTCCGCCAGTGCGGGAACAAAGGATCAGTGCGTGGATGCCAAAGCCAAGTGCTATTTAATAGATGGAATAACGCTGCCCAAGAATAATCATCCTTAAGTATGACAACTAAAATTAAAAGTAATGCGATGATGTAAACTATGTATTTATCCGCGTAGCCTTTAAACCTTTTTTTAAAGGCTAGTAACCACTTAAAAGGATACATATATTTAATGGAAGTCAAATTTATTCCCTTATAACTTCATTAAACAACATTTAATGGATGACAATTGGTCATCTTGTTAAATAATTTTAGATACATAAACCCGTTTTTCAGTTAACAATTTTAAAAATAATCAAAACTGAAGATTAAAAGATTATACTTTCGTTAATGTAACATGTTAATGTAACATGGCAAAGCAGTATTATTATACGCAAATTTCAATACATACTCGAGGCTTTCAAAACTCAGTGTGTCTTTTAGTTTTAATCACACACTACACAATAATTACTCGCACTGAGATCGACTTGGGATGATTGAGTTTGACGTTCGCTTGGCCAAAGTTGCGGATCTGGATGGTATTAACAAGCTGATCCGGTCGCCGGGCGTCAAGTGGTTTGGCAATATCCGGCCGAAGTTTTGTGGCAAGGACTCGCTGTTTCATCCGTACCAGACCTACAGGATGTTGGCCCTCTGCAGGCATACTTCCGCCTTGGTGGCCTACGCCGAGTTCCGGAACTATCCGTCCATCACCGCTCTGCCCACAGATAGTTGGTTGGATTGGCTGACCGTTAGATACTGGTATTCGGATACGAATATTTTCCACAGTGGATAATGACCTTTTCGCCTTCAGTTTGACCCTGTCTATTAGTTGGCTTAATGCATTGTTCTTCAACTTTTGCATTTACAAGAGCGAGTACTCAATGGTTCTGGTCGAAATCATAAAAGAGGTGTTTTACAGGGAGAACAGGGTGTGGTACCTGATCGCAGTGAGGCCTCCCTTTGTGCAACAGCCCTCGCACTTCATGGAGACCTTCGACGACTTGGAAAAAATATCACAGATCTACTATCCGCTGGAGTTTAGCACGGAAAAAAACAATAACACGCAGTCATTATACATTGTGGATCGGTTCAAGCTACTGCCCAAGATTACCTACCGGAAGGCACTGTAAGTTCTAATGGGTTAATTCATTAACACTTTATATGTCCGTGATCCATATCTGCAACGTATCGTAAAAAATGTTTTTTTGATATAAAGTCCTTTTATTCCTAATAAAAGTGTACAAAATCGAAAAAGAGAAAAACGGGAAAAATTGTATTTCTATATTTTTTACGTATCTGCCATAAAGAAAACGAAACAAAATCGGTGCTCCTGCCATAAAAAAGGTTAAAGCTTTGTTAGTTACTAGACAAAAGACCCAGCAGCTATGGCTGACACTCCTCCTGAAGCCTAGTTTTATACACCCAGAGGTAAACTTTGGTAAGTTCAAATGTTTTCTGATTAAATTTAAATGGTGTAACACATTCATTTCCTTTTTCATAAATGGAAAAATTTAATTTTAAACAAGAAAGAAAGCAAACTTCGGCAAGCCGAAGTTCATATACCCTTGCAGCTATCGCAAGAATTAAATATTTTTGAAAACATTAAAATTATGATTTACTTGCGTATATGTTTAAAAACATTGAAGCTATGACGATTTGCAGCTTAATTATTTGATTGTTCTTTTATATATTTTTATTGTTTGTATGGGAGCTATATGATATAGTCGTCCGATTTTGATGAAATTTTAACCATAATTCTGAAATATTTAACCATTGCTATATGTCGAAGAACTAAAAAAAAATTAAAAAACAGCAAAGTTATAATTTTTTTCAATTATTTTTCCGATTGTTCCTATGGGAGCTATATGCTATAGTCGTCCGATTTTGATGAAATTTTAACCATAATTCTGAAATATTTAACCATTGCTATATGTCGAAGAACTAAACAAAAAATTAAAAAACAGCAAAGTTATAATTTTTTTCAATTATTTTTCCGATTGTTCCTATGGGAGCTATATGCTATAGTCGTCCGATTTTGATGAAATTTAAACCATAATTCTGAATTATTTAACCATTACTATATGTCGAAGAACTAAACAAAAAATTAAAAAACAGCAAAGTTATAATTTTTTTCAATTATTTTTCCGATTGTTCCTATGGGAGCTATATGCTATAGTCGTCCGATCCGGCTCGTTCCGACTTATATACTACCTGCAATAGAAAGACAACTTTTGGGAAAGTTTCATGCAGATAGCTTTAAAACTGAGAGACTAGTTTGCATATAAACGGACGGACAGACGGACAGACGGACAGACGGACAGACGGACGGACAGACGGACAGACGGACGGACAGACGGACATGGCTAGATCGACTCTACTAGTGATGCTGATCAAGAATATATATACTTTATAGGGTCGGAAACGTCTCCTTCACTGCGTTGCAAACTTCTGACTGAAATTATAATACCCTCTGCAAGGGTATAAAAACTTTAAGTCAACAATTTATTCTATTTAATAAACCAATTATATATGCTAATAATTTTTTTAAATTTATTTTAAGTAAAAACAATGTTACATTCAAATATTTACATTTTTAATTTTACTATAGGGTTTTTCTCTTGGTGTCCTTAAGCTTTCAGTGTAAAAAAAAATTTTACATATTCTTTTTTTCTATTTTATGTGTTTCCCAATTTAATTTAAGAGCCGAGGACAACGATGATGTAATAGAACTGCTAGAATTCGAGATGCCCGAGCTCCGAGAGAAGCTTGGTGACTACTATATAGCCGAGGAGGTAATGCGACAGGATCCCGGGGCCGAGAAGAGCCTTTTGGTCGTGGCCGAAACAAGCAATCAATGCGAGGAGACCGAGATGGTCCTCTTCCTTTGGATGACCACGGACATCGACATCCAGTTCTATGTGCGTAACTACGAGGTTGTATCCTTCGGCAACCTGGTCAAGCCCGTCGATGGCAAGTCGTTCCACTACGAAACGATGACGGTGTCGTAAGTGTGGCTCCTCAAGTGCTCAGACTACTTCCTAAGTAATTAACATCCTGTAGATCAGTTCAGCGCAGGGCAGAGGCCAGCACGTTTACCTCAGATGCCCTGGATGATCTGGACGCCATCACGATTCTGGGAGGTCTGCAGAGGGTTGACAGCGGTATGAGGTGGGCAATACTCAGGCATATTGTTTATGTCATATAAGGGGTTGTCCATATATATATTAAGTCTTAAAAAACACGAAAGGAAGCCAGCTTGGGCAAGCCGAGGTTAATAGACCCTTGTAGCTATTTCAAAAATTAAATATTCATTAAAACAACAAAATTTGTTTTCCGTTCTGAAACAATAAACCAAAATTGTATGAAAGTATATATAACAAGAAAGGAAGCAAACTTCGGCAAGCCGAAGTTCATATACCCTTGCAGCTATTGCAAGAATTTAACATTTTTGAAAACCTTAAAATTATGATTTACTTGCGTATATGTTTAAAAACAGTGAAGCTATGATGATTAGCAGCTCAATTATTTAATAGTTATTTTATATATTTTTATTATTTCTATGGGAGCTATATGATATAGACGTCCGATTTTGATAAAATCTAAACCATAATTCTGAAATATTTAACCATTGCTATATGTCGAAGAACAAAAAATTAAAAAACAGAAAAGTTATAATTTTTTTTCATTTATTTCTCCGATTGTTCCTATGGGAGCTATATGCTATAGTCGTCCGATTTTAATGAAATTTAAATCGTAAATCGGAAATATTTTACCATTACTAAATGCCGAAGAACTAAACAAAAAATTGAAAAACAGCAAAGTTATAATTTTTTTTCTTTTATTTTTCCGATTGTTCCTATGGAAGCTATATGCTATAGTCGTCCGATTTTGATGAAATTTAAATCGTAAATCGGAAATATTTAACCATTACTAAACGTCGAAGAAATGAACAAAAAATTGAAAAACAGCAAAGTTATAATTTTTTTTCATTTATTTTTCCGATTGTTCCTATGGGAGCTATATGCTATAGTCGTCCGATCCGGCTCGTTCCGACTTATATACTACCTGCAATAGAAAGACAACTTTTGGGAAAGTTTCATGCAGATAGCTTTAAAACTGAGAGACTAGTTTGCGTAGAAACGGACGGACAGACGGACAGTCGGACGGATAGACGGATAGACGGACAGACGGACATGGCTAGATCGACTCGCCTAGTGATACTGATCAAGAATATATATACTTTATAGGGTCGGAGATGTCTCCTTCACTGCGTTGCAAACTTCTGACTGAAAATATAATACGCTCTGCAAGGGTATAAAAACAGCGGAGTTATATTTTTTTTCATTTGTTTTTTTCGATTGTTGAATAGAATCGACTCTTCAAGAACATAAATACTTCATAGGGTCGGAAATGTGTCCTTAATTGATTGAATTATAATTATAAAATTATTATTATATATTAAAAGGGTGGTTCAATACCTAAGTTAGGTTTGGGGTATCTTATAATGCACTTAGCAAATGTAATACGTATATAACTTTTTTTTTTAACAGCGTTGCAAGCATGGGTAAAGTGAAGATGAGCTCTATCGCTGGCACAGTTGTGGATGCTCACGTAGTGGAGGATAATAAGTTCTACATGCGGGAATGTCTCTTCTCAAAGTTCAAGTACATCCTGGAAAGTAAGTCCACAGTTGATCCTAAACGCAGAAATTGTCTTAGTTCACAAATTTTGTTCATTTAGAACTACACAGCACTGATTACTATTTGCGGTACGAACAAAACGTAATCAATTTCATATACCCCGCCGGAAAGGAACCCGCTGGTCCGGCGGCCATAGAAGCGGCATCAAACGTTTTTTTCCTAAAGAGTATTGTGGGCGGACGGAATTTTCCACTGTCACGCCTCTTTAACGCGATAGTGGCCATGTTTTGCGCCTATCCAGATCGGGACTACTGCATGATGCAGATATCCGCGAATATCAAGGCCACAAGGAGCTATTTGGAGGTTCTACAGTACTTTATGGTAAGCCTAAAAACTGGTTATTTTGATTGCAGAGCTCTTTATGTTTTGAATTTTGAATATTTAAAATATTCATATAATTCGAAATTATGACACTAAATTTTATATATAAAAGTACATTTTTTTGGGGGACCAAATAACAAAGGATGAAAAAAAGTCGGGCTTTAGGTGGCGCCATCTGCCGAACTACAGGGTCATTGCCACAAGCTATGAATGAGCAGCATCCACGCCTCCGACAGATGTCGCCACCTAAATTCCGATTGTTTTGTGGGGGAATATTTAGTTTGAAGTTTGCTAACCGTAGACGTTTTATAAACTTGCACTGCTTAGGCATAACAAGCACCTGCATGCTAAGCCCCAAAATGTCTTGTTTAATAGTTTCTGCGGTGTTGTCGCTCAATCGAACTCTGTAATTGATCATGTATATAGCTTTTACCTTTTACATAATTTTCATTAAAACACGAGTTAATTCATTATTACCTAATACTTTCCAATTAATGGATTGTGTGTATCCAAACTTTTAATGTCTAGCCAGTGGTTTCGCGTCCCAGCAATGAATGCAGCCTCGCCGAGGTATACATAACCCATCGGAGCACCATTTTTGGGGAGATTAGTCTGTACAAACTGCGAAAAGAGGACGTGTCCGTGGTGCATTCCTTGGCCGTAGGAAACTCGACCAAAGAGATAGGTTCCCCTGATTCCACCGCCAGCAGCTTCTCCTACTGCTCCAAAATAAACGAGCGGGCGGACCTGGAGCACGAGGTTCATGTTCTCGACGCGATCATGAAGGAAGTGCTGGAGAAGGAGTTCAGTGAGTTCGCGGTGTTTACCATTCGCTGCGGAAACTCTACAAAGTCCGCCAAGCAGAATACTTCGATCGGGTTTGTGGTGATTCGGCAGTTCCATTGCCATGACCAGCTCTTTGATCACTATCATCTGCCCAAGAACGATACTCACTTGAATCGTCTAAGGGCCGAGATCATCTCGCTGCGACTGCATCCTCTCTTCGTGTCCAGTGGCGATCTGATTTTCAGGGATTTGGCCAGGAAGACTAACTTTTACGACTTTTACTTCATCAGTCCTTTTGACGTAAGTTATAAGGATGCTGATAGGATGCAAACAATTACGGATTTAATAAATGCAAAATCCCCACAGAATCAAAAGTACAGCAATGACCTGAAGAAAATGATGATGGTCGTGGAACCGAAGGCCATTAAAAAGGCTCCAGTTTTCTTCGGAGTGCGCACTGAACAGAAGAAGTCGAAGAACAGGTTGCTCCTGCCCAGTCCCAACTACTCAACGGATAATATGATCATCTACCGGCACAAACTCAATCCGGTTAAGTGGTTCACCAACAAGAAGAAAGTGGTCATCATTGGGTTTTCTCCAGTGGCCAAGGCATTTCTGCGACAGCTTGTGTTTCAGTGGAATAGCAGGGAGTGAGTCTCATAAATAGTACACATGTTAAATCCCATTTCTCGGGCTTTGTAGTTCTGTGAATCTCTGTTTTCATATATAGGGCTGTATATATTTACTTGATTGCCTTCAAATATCATACATAACATTTTCTTTATGTGGACTTCTCTGCAGCCATAAGAACTCGGAAAACTTCACCTGCCTGAGCTGGCTGCAAGTGACCGTAATCTGTCGGGCCGGGGTCGTGGAGGCGGAATACGACAGCCTCTTTAAGTGCCCCTATTGCACCAGCCCTCTTGGATGCTACCTTTCCTACCAGAACGAGTCCTGCTTCATAAGAGATTGTTGTGTGCGCCTTGATTTGCGCTATTGGGTGCACTTTGTGCCCGGAAAGGTGGAGCTTATTAATAGGTGCGACTAGCATAGCCATTAACTATATCATAATTGATTAATCCTTCCCCATAAACAGAGAGAAAAAGTACGTGAAGATCGAGGCCTGCGAGATTTACTATGACACCCTTCTGCTGATGTGTGAGCGAAAGTTTGTGCTCCGTTCTCCAGAATCGCCGGTCGGCAAGGGAAGTCCCTGCAATCTCGTGGAGGTCAATTGTCGGCTTAACAAGCTCCTGCTCTTCTACAAGGTGCGTACGCTGCTGGAGAACATGCCGCGAACCTACTTGGTCCTGGTTTATGGCTCCAATTTGTGCACCTATGAGTGCATTGCCTTTCTGATTGGCCATGGCGTGGATTGCTCGCGGATGGTGTTTGTCCAGCCGCATCGATTCATCGGTAAGGATGCGGATATGAAGGAGAAGAACCCCTTCTGGGATCAAAACCTGCAGCTCATCTTGGACGACATTCTCGTGGATAAAGGAGTCGAGATTTTCATAGACTATGACTTTCACCACTATAACGTACACAAGTCATCCGACTTCATTATGGAGGTGGTCTTCCAGCACATTCCCAGTAGAAAGCAGGCGACATTCGAGTGCGACCTTTTTATCTCCTTCGAGGAGGGACACCTCCATCAAAGGCATATGCAATGTGAGTGGTTATAATTAGAAAAGATTTACATAATGGGAATACTTTTTGATCACACAACATTAGGGCTTAAGGCTGCCAAAATCAATATAGATAACAATGAGATCCTGGTAAACAAACGATACCAGACCAATGATCCGAACATCTATGCAGCTGGCAGCTTTATACAGATGCGGCCGAAGCCAAATTATCAGTACAGATATGTTAATAGCCGGGAAATGGCCCGCAAGGTGAGAGTTTCATCTACTGAGTTACCTTATAGTGTCCGTGTATACCATTCTTCCAGATCTTACACCATCTGGACATTGTTCCGGATATAAATTTCGAGGATCGATACTCTGAGCCCCTGCTCTTCCAGGCCATTCTGCCGCTACGTTATTTCATCACCAAAGTCACAATGCCTCGGAGATATTTGAGCTCGCATATGCCCGTCATGGAGACTTGCAATTTGACCACGTACAAGCAGAACACATTTTGCCGGGTTGGCCTATTCAAACATATGACGGTGGACGAGATCGTGGTTGTGACAAAAAATGTGAGTTCACTTACCACAAGCTATAATAACTCTGTAACCCACCCTACATATTTTCCCCATTAGGAGTGCTATTTGGACTTCCTGCAGCATTTTTGTGGCAAGCACGAGCTGCTTCTGAACAATCTGAAAGCGCGCTATAAGGCTCATACGATTCACTCTTTTCTAAAGTATTTTCAAGAGCCCTGGGCGGAATTGATCAAGCACGAGAACTTTAAGGACCTTCAGGCGGAGAATGCAGAACTCCTTAATCCCATGACCATTACGGCGCTAAGAGTGCGAATATAATTTACTATATAAGTATCGATTTTCAACCTTCATTTTTCCCCCTTACAGCGAGCTAGCCGTGGTGCCTTAGGAAGTATAACCGATATTGACTTCTCCTCGCTGAACAGGCGCTACCTGGAGGTCAAGCTGATGACTTTTCTGAGGGTTCATCGACGGGACTTCCGGCATAAGTTTGCTCTTCCCGAGGATTTTCTTCAATTGGATCAGCCTGACCGGGAGCGACACTTGAATGAATCGACTGAGGAGCAAGATGAGTCAACGGACGAGTCAGATACCTGATTTGTAGAACCAAAGCAGTCCGTTTCTTTACTTTCCGATTTCCTTGTGCAGTGCTCCGACTCAAATACACGTTAAACAAAATATTTTGAAAAATGCCCCGAATTCAAGATACTGTGTTTGTCATCACAGCGGGAATTCGGGATCTGCGGCGCATACAGGATCTCTATGAGGCCAAAAATACGTGGCATTTTGGCCCAAAGGCTACTCCGCCGCTAGAGACCCTGTTCTTGAAAAACCAGGCGCAGCGATTGTTGGTCGTTAACAAACAAGATTTTCACGTTGTGCTGGCATACTGCGAGTTCGCCAACCATCCAAATATGCCGGTGCTGTCTAACGATTTGTGGCTTCACTGGCTCAATGTGCGATTCTGGTACGTAAATAGGATGGGGAGTGTCTTCAGTCCGGCAGCTAAATAATGCGTATCCCCCCAAAAGCCTTGATCTTCCCATCACGCTGATCAACACCATCTTTTTCAATTTCCTTATCTGCAAGGAGGGTCAGCCTGACATTCTCAGGCTGATCATATTGGAGGTCTTTTATAACGAGCACAAGCTCAACTATATAATAGTGGTTAAGCCGCCGGATTGTCCGCCAGGCCAATATGATGCCGTTCAGGCTTTTGGAAAAACCTACTACCCCAAGTACTCCAAAGTCTCGGAGCAGATGCATCTTCCCTCGATCATCGTGATCCATCGACGGGACGTCATGCCGTTCCTCTCCTTTCGCAAAGCCCTGTGAGTTGGTCCCCAAAGTCTTTTGTTGAAGCCATCCGTACCTTTCCATTTCAGACCTGAGGATAATGACGACATTGTCGAGATGATTGATTCCGAAGATCCGGAATTGCGAAAAAAGCATGGCGACTTTTACATTGCAGAGCACCTGCTGAATATGGAAGAATCTGACCATAGTGATAATATTATTATTGCTGAGGTGCTTAGGTGTACTTCCTTTTCTGATTCGCTTAACCTGCCTATCATCGCAGTTCGAAGAAGAGATCGCGGAAAACGTCAAGGGAGCGGGTTTAATGTGGCTATCGGAATCCGTAGACATTGAGCACCTGGCCAAGAACTTTCACCTCGAACGGTTGGGCAATTTGGTGCGGTACACGCCGGGGATCAAGCACGCCCGTGTGCTATTTGATGTGTTGTAAGTGGGTTGTACAAAGAAGTAGACGTCTATTTTGAAAGCTTCCTATAGTTCAGTGGAACAAAAGTCCTATAAGGATTTATACACTGAGACGCAAATGGAAGAAATATATAAGACACATGTAGGTGAGAAAAACCCTGAAGGACCAACAAAAGCGAAGGAAGTGCTTTTCAGCAAGTACAAGCATATTTACGAGGGTGGGTAATCATGTCGTTAAGAGCACCTTACTTTATGTACATTTTTGCTAATATTTTTGTAGAACTCCGCAAGGGAACTTACTATATGAAAGCCTTTAAGGACCAACTGGAGATCGCTTTTGACTTGCCAGCCGGCGAGCACTCGCACAGCGAAAATCGGGTGCAGTACTTGGGTAAGGCGAGCAATGGGTTCCTGCTAAAGATGTTCCAGTTGCATCCACTGGTACGCTTTGAGTACACATTTTATTCCTTGTCGGCCATGTTCAGTGCCTTTCCGAATCACGATTACTGTGTGACTATGGTGCCTGGCACCGCGACCACAAGCCCTTGTCAGCGAGAACTGCTCCGGTTCTTCCTGGTGAGTTGAAATACTTGGATACTGGAGCTAGAAATTCCGTTGATTGCCATATTTCAGCCGGTCGCCCATCGTCCAAATAGCGCCGTGGCCGAAAATATGTTCGTTGCGCACCGAAGTACCTTGTTTGGGGACCTTCGGGTACAACCATTTGAAAGACGGGAGGTTGATGAAATCAGAACTTTGATAAGCTCCCAGTCCAGGAAAAGGGACACCTTTTGTAATGATGATGATGAATCTGATGCTAATAACAGGCTAGACTACTATACAGCCGAAGTCTTGAACACTTTTGAAGATATTATTGAGAATATCCTTGAGAATCCATTGTCCGAGTCGAGCTGTTTCACCATTCGCTGCGGTCTATCCAAGAAACACATCGACTGTCCCTTGGTGGGCTTTCTGATTCTGTGGTGCGGTTGAATAAGTTATATTTATTTTATATAGACTATTTATGCGGCATTCACAGCCCCTTTCTGCTTTATGAAGATCTAAGCAGTATGTTCATGCTGCCACCAGAGCAGTTCCCCCTAACGCACAACCGTGGAGAGATTGTCATGTTCAAGCTGCACCCATATTTCCAGGTGTGGTGCAATCCGATCATTCGCACGGTAGCTTTGTATGATAACTACCGAGAATTGTACTACGTAAACCACTATAATGTTAGTTAAAATCGTTCTCATACAGTTCAGTGGAGTTTAATACGACCTTACCGTTTTGTAGGGAATCTCGCTGCCCAACGATTTGATGTACAACATGATGCCCGTAGAACCTTGCCGCATGAAGAAGAACCTATTTGGTTACAAGTGCGTTTCGTACAAGCGAAAGACATCGAGGATGTCCCACGTCTCCAATACGGATTCGTGCGGCAGTCGCATGCGGGTCTTTTGCCACAACCTTCAGCCCACCAAGCACTTGGGTGGCAAGAACTCACTGGTAATCGTGGGCTTCTCCCAGATCTGTCTAGCCTTCTTGCGGACCGTCATCTTCGCCTGGAACTCTAAAGAGTAAGAGCTATTTCTATCTATAGAACTAAACATCGTTAATTGGTTTTGATAATCTGTCTGAACGACAATGAAAGAATAATTAATATTTTGTTATTTCTAGAATCAGTTAAAATATTTTTAGTTCCTTTGCTCTTAATGATTTTACAAAAACAAAACTGTTTGTTCCTAGGCCTTTGTCTAAGTGATAAGCTTTTATTTTTTGTTTATTTCGTCCAAATTCTTTTGAGGTATTCAACGAAAGTGCAACCTTATCTCCCCTTAAATTCTTCAATAGTTTGTTAAATTTTAAAAAGTACAACTGCCTGCCAATGGTGGACATTTCGGTGTTGGTGCCTCATGGAATTGTGGAATCGGCCTACGATTCCGAATTTTTATGCAGCTACTGTGGCGAAGATGGCAGGAATTGCTATATAAACACCGGAAACCAGAATCCTTTTGTCAAGGATGTAACGCACCGCATGGATGTGAGACATTGGGTGCGTTTTGTTCCCGGGATATTGAAAAGAATAAATAGGTAAGTTAACATTATAAATGGCTTAAAAACTATTATTGCTTAAGACTACAATTTTAACAATCTACTTTTCAAAATTCGAACTATCTAAAACCAATGCATTGAACATTTTTAATGAATACTCCATATACTCCAGGGCTTATTTGTTAAATTTGGTTTCAGGCAGGAAAAGATTCTACATCTATTGGATGGCTGTAGCCTTCACTACGAGAAGCTGCTCCTTCTGGCTGGCAGTAAGTTTGGCTTTGAAGATACGGTGTTCAACGGGCATCCGACGCCGTTGAACTATGTAACCACCAATCACCGACTGGACAGGATCATTTTCTACCACAAGCTGCGGGAGATGGTTGAGTCCGGGGAGTCCTATAACATCATTGTCTACGGATACGGACTAGTCGTCTACGAGTGCATTAATTTTTTGGTCACACATGGTTGTGAGGCCAATAATATTACGTATGTACAGCCCCATGTGCCAGCGGAGTTGGAGGATGTGGGCAATCCCGATTTAGACGCTCGGCTGGACCCGATTATACTGGAAATGGTAGGCGATCTGGGAGTCACGATTTACTTGTCCAACAACTACAGTCAATTTATTTTGAGTAAAGACAACTTGTTTATTGAGAAGGTTCAGTTCGTTTCGGTTCCCAGCAAGAAAATTACCGAGTTGAACTGCGATCTGTTTGTCAACTACAACCCGAATAATATGAGTACGGTTTTGGAGAATGGTGAGATGCTCTACTGCCAGAACACTAATAACCATTGGCGTTATCTCACTCAAAAAAGTTTGCTAACGCCAATGGGCATGCATTTTTAAATCACCCTTGTCATATAATGCCCCACCTTTTGCAGCACTCAAAGAAGCCGGAATCGAAATGATCGACAGAAAGATCGTGGTAAATGCACGGTACATCACTAATGATCGGAATATATATGCCTCTGGCAATATAGTCATGTTGCCCATCCCCAACTTTCAGTACACTTCAACTAGTCCGCAAGAGTGCGCTGAGAAAGTAAGCGACCCCTTAGGAAAGTTCTGTTTTAATATCAGGTATTTGTGTATTTAGCTGGCCTACGAACTGAACATGGTAAAGATTGTGATGCAGTCGCGATACTTGAGGCCATTCGCTTTCACGGGCATGCTGCCCATGGGCTATCAGATCATCAAGTTAATCCAACCGAAGCCACAGCTAATAGGTCAACTACCCGTTGACTACTCGGAGTCCATGACCACCTACGAGAATGGAGAGTTTTGCCGCATTCGTCTCAACAAGAACATGATTGTCATTGAGATTGTCTGCGTTACTAAATCGGTATGATATTATTTAGGTGAGAAGTAGGATTATTAGTGATCAAATTCCCATAAATTCTCACATCCAGCCGAAAAGACTTTACTTCCTGGAGTACTTTTGTGGCAAGCATGCTATGCTGCTTAATGATCTGCACGCTCGTTTTCAATCCGGTTGGATTAAAAACTTCTTGCACTTCTTTCAACAGCCCTGGACGGAGCTTATAATGCACGACAGATTCGAGGACCTGCAATTGAAGAATCGCCGCCTTTTGCTGTCCATGCTGCTGATGAACAACAAGGATGCCATTAATGTCAGGAACAGTTTGGAAACCACACAGCGGCAGAAGCTGGAGGAGAATGTAATCGATTTTGTACGCACCTATCGCAAAGATTTCGTCCACGAATTTGCTCTGCCAGAGGATTGGGGTGACTTTAGTCTATGATTTGGTTGTCATTAGTTTTTGTATATTTCAATACTCCAATATTTTATTAAGTACAGAAAGAGCAGAACGAATAGTTTCAATAAAGGGTCGTAAATTGATAGACAAGGAATTCAAATCAGATATTTATTTATATGTATGTATTTTTGTATTGCATACAATGCTAAATAACTAAACCAATTGCAAGTTTTTACATTGCTCAACACACTAAATCTATTAATGATCAAAAGCTAAAGCTTTCGTTTGGGATAAGCCTACAGATTTAGTTATTCGATTGATTCTGTTATTAAGTTAGCTAGCTCGATTAGTATAACACATAACTCCTTAGGTCTCACACTGTTAGCTTAATTATATATACTACAAGGGAATGGGTAAAGGGTCTCTGGACTTCATCGTCTAAAGGGGAGAACAGGTCGGTGTTCGTCGCCGCATTTGATCTCGATTAATGGACAGGGGGCTGAGGCCACTGGGGAAGACAATGACATGGTGGTTGAGCTGGCCTCATATGCCCTGCAAGAACCTTCGTAACTCCTCCTCGGTGTCGAAGATCATCACCGGGAAGGGCGATCCTGGCACGAATTCGCCCGCCCACTTGACCTCTACTCGATAGTCACCTGGTTCGGTTGGATCGTACTGAAAGTTACAAAAAAAAGAAGATATGCTTATCTGCTGATAGATCCACCAATTGCATATCTTACCTTGCACAGAATGGTGCGATCCTTCTGACTCTCCCGCTGCATTTCCACGCGGAAAGCGCCCTTGGGTCCGCGAACCCGAACTGTCAACTGCCCAGCTCCAGCACCTCGAGTGTCGCAGATAAATCGCGATTGGAAGGTGGCCAGCACGCCATGCTCAATTCCAGGTCCATACACACGGACCTAGTAGGCAAAAATTATCGGACATGAAGAAAGGGATTATATATCAAGCCAAGGCAAATTTATTATTGCCAACTCACCTTGCTGGCATCCGGTGCTCCGGCCACTTTAAGTGCGAATGGCGAGCCAGGAACATTTTGTCCTCCGTATTTGATGGTCAGCAGGTGACGACCTGGCTCCTGAGGCTTAATGTTCAGGGTGAATGTGGCATCGCCATGATCGTACAGCTCGCAGTAGGCCACCTTGCGTACGCCAGCACAGTGGGCAGTGAGTTCACCCGGTCCGGCTCTCCTGGTGTCAATCCAGGACTTGATGTCCTTGCCGACAATCCCGTGACGCAGTCCCTCACCGGAGGCAATCACCTTTGAGGCGTCCATGGAAGAGCCCACTGCCACCGTAAGCGGACATCCCTTGACCAAACGGCCATTCCACTTCACGGAAAGATTCAGAGTGCCCGTGGTGGATTTCAGGGGGGTGTACGAGGCAAGCCAGATGTTTTCGCTTGGTCGCGGTTGCGCCAGACTCACCGGCAGCGATGTGCTGTCCTGGCTGGTGAGGATCACCTCCGGCCTGCCAGCCGGCGCATTCGAGGCGTCGATTGTGAAGTGGGCCGCTTCACCGGCTTGAGCTGCCGCCAGACCACGACCCATGAGCTGCACCTTATCCGCCGCCTGCTGGCCCGTGACAAAAGCACTTCTCGGACACTGGGTGATGGTCAATCCGCTCCAGGTCAAGTCCAAATCATGCTCGCCGGCAGCCAGGTTCTCGCCGGTGATGTTCAGGCACATCTTGCCGTCGACCAGCTTGTCCACAGGTATTTCGATGCCATCGATGCTGCAAACCAGCTTGCCCGGACCCGCATTCTCCACATCGAAGATGATGCGAGCGGGTAGAATCAGCCGGCCGTCATGATCCACCAGAGTTCCCCACCCACCCACGGGTGTTACCTTGTTGGACTCCACGCAGCTGATGTGCCAGGGCGATCCCGGCAAGCTGCCCCTATTCGGACAGCTGGCTCGGATCTCGTACTTGCCCACGGAGAGAATTGTGTACGAGATGCGCCACTCATTGTTGCCCAGAGCCTTGATCTTGGGCTCTATCCGCTCGCCATACTCGTCCAACCGCTCGATCTGGACATTCGGAGCAATGGGACAGTAGACCACGAAGGAGGCCTCCTTGTTCCGGTGACACACCTCCAGGCCGTGACCAGCGGCCCGGGCATCGTTCCTCACGCCACTCGAGGAGGCGGTGAAGTTCAGCGGCGAGCTGGGAATCGTCTCTCCTCCGTACATGAGTGTCAACTTGTAGTTGCCCGGCTGCGAGGGCACAAACTCCACGTTGTAGACACCCTCCGATTGCTCGCTAATTAGGACTGGCAGACTCTGATTGCTGGGCGAGATGGCGAAGGCCTCCAGTTCGGCGGTTCCGGCATTGTCAGTACGGACGGTGAAACTGTTTGGACTGTGCAGGGCCAGCGGCTCCTTGGTGACACCCTGGGTGGTGACCTTGCTGCTGTCGAAGGATTCGCAGGTGAAGGGACTGCCAGGCAGCGGCTTCGATTGATGCAGCACCTCTGTTCGGGGATAATCATTAGAATCTACTACCTTCAATGCACAAATATTACTTACCAATCACACACTGTCCCGGCTTGTTGATGGTGAACTCCGCCTGCAGGTGTCCGTTCTTCGTCTGATAGCATCTCACGGGCAGAGCTTGTCCTCCTGGTCCGGAGACCACCACGTCGAACTCCCTGGCTGGCCTCTTCACCGTGTCAATGGCAAAGGAAGTGGTCTTGCCCACTCGCGACTGATACAGTCCCAAACCGCTGACGCTGATTTCCTTGCCAGCACTGGCGGGCAGCACACTGATCTCCAGGGGTTTCAGCGAGATGGGCACTTCGTTGAACAGGATGCTGATCTTGTGGGGCGCCACACGAGTGGGCTGGTACACTATCTCGTACACTCCGGTCTTACTTGGTCCGCGGATGGTGTGCGGCACTTCGGTGGCTCCACAACGCACCAGTGCGGATAGATCTCCCTGACCAGCCTCGTTCAACGAGACTCCAATGCTGGCAGGCCGATGGCAGAGGGCCTCGCTCACCTCGGTGATCTTCACCAGCGTGGGATCGAAGACGCACAAGGTGCGGGATCCGATGTGCTGACGGGTTTCGCGGTCTATGAAGCGCAGCGTGTAGTTCCCGGTCATGTGGGTCCGGAACTCCGCTGTCTGCCTGTTGATCGAATACGGAACAGACTTCTGATCCGGCGAGAAGATCTCAACGATCTGATCGTCCGCTGGGAAGTCAATGGCCGCCAAACTGCCAATCTGAATGTGCTGTGTGTGCTGTTGAATGTCCACACGGAAGGGACTTCCGTCCACGGCCACCTCATTGAAAGTGATGTTCACGTAGTGCGGTTCCGTGCTCTGTGGCACAAAGGTCACGTCGTAGAGTCCGCGGGCACAGGCCACAACCTCTGCCTTGACCGTGCTACTGTCGGTGGAGACCACCAGCTCCAAGGTGCCCTCACCAGCTCCCGCAGCGTCCACGCTAAAGGTCACTGGAACGCCCAGATTGGCCGGCCCATACTGCTGCTCCAGTCCACTAATGCTCACCCTGGAGACATCGAAGACATTGCAACTGAAGGGGGATCCGTTGATGTGCTGATCGTTGGCCGTCACACTGATCAAGTGACGACCCACAGTGGTGGGCCGGAAGGATGCGGAGTAGCTGCCCCCATCATGCTGGCTCAGCTGGCAGTGCTCATTGTCCCCCGACGGCGAGGTGACAAAGATCTGCGGCTCCACGCCCTCGAAGCCCTCGAGCTCAAAGGTGTTGTCCATCTTGACGGCGGCCTGCTTCAGGCACTCGCCCATGGCCATGGCCCGGGGCAGTCCCATCGAGGGCGAAGCCGCTGCAGCGGCGATGTGACAGCTGAATGGCGAACCCGGCACCGGATGTCCATTGAATCGCACCGACAGCGAGTGGGTGGCCGCCTCCGTGGGCTTAAAGTTCACCTTGAACCGGGCATTGCCCTCGGATTGAACAAAGTTCGGTACGTTCTTGCCATTGACGGCCACGATGATCTCCAGATTGCCGGCTCCCGCCTGTGATGCATTGATCCCGAAGCTCACACTCTTGTTGACCACGCCAGCTCTGATGTCCGTGACAATCACCTTCTCGGCGGAGTAGGCTTTGAGCAGGAAGGGACTGCCTTCCACGTGACCACCACCGGGCAGGCGGACCTCCACCGAGTGGTCACCCACCTCCATGGGCTCGAACTTGACATTGTAGCCCAGGGTGGACGAACCCAGGGGGTCAATCTTCACGGGCACACTTCGCCGGGCAGGACCGAGCACCTCAACGGTCGGCTTAGTGTCCGATTCCACCACAAACTCGAACAGCCTGCCCACGCTGACCTTGTCCATCGTCTCCGGGGATTGGATGCGGGCGGCGGCTGCCACGCGACAGGTGAACGGGGATCCGGGCACATCCTGGCTGTTGAAGCGCAGCTCTACGGTGTGACTCTCAGCCTCGCGGGGCGTGAAGCTGATGGCGTAGGTGTGTTGACCCTGGGCCTGGGCGGAGGTCGGAACTCTGCCTCCGTTCACGGTAACTTCCAAATTTCCGGGTCCAGCCTGGGATGTCTCAACCAGAAAGGTGACAGCCTTGCCCACTGTGCCACTGCTCACATTCTTCACCTTTATGGCGCTGACATCGTACACCTTGAAAAACAACAACACTTTTAATCAACTGAAGACAAATGTAAATAAAAATAACTTCAGGTACGAATTTGTGTATCCTGAAAAAAATGCGTTACACTTATAATTAAGTACAATAATTGCGTAAAACATTTCATATCCTCAGAGCATTTCCAATGGAATAATATTAATACTGGAGTTTAACCCTTTCATAATCGTGTATTACTAATACTTTCCCACAAAATCTAAATTTTTTCTGCTTTTGATGGCTGCATAGCAAAAACCTTATACTCAAAAGAAAATCAGTTTGTCTGCCTTTCCTGGTCACTTTTATTTAAAGGCTGCTACTGAGATATAAATATCAAAAATGTAGCTTTGAAGTTTTTAAATATCATAATTGAACTTAAAAGAGATAATACGGCCAGTGACTGACATTTTCTAATATATATATATTGTAGCTAATACCAATTAACTAATGCTAAATATCAACTGGACTATTACGTTTCTTCTTGCTAGTTTTGAGAATCCTC